GAGGTCAGAGGACAACTTCCAAGAGCTGATTTTGTCCTTACACCATATGGGTCCTGGGGCATCTAACTCAGGTCATCAGTCTTGGCAGCAAACACCTTTATTCACTGAGCCATCTTGTTGGCCCTACCTCCTCTGTTTTAAGGAAAAAATTGGTAAAGAATACACATAAGTACTTCTTTAAATACTTGGTAGAACCAGTGAAGTCATTCCCTTCGGGCTGTACTTGGTGGGAAATTTTTGACTGCTAATTTTAATCTGCTTACTTATGATATAGTCAGTCTTTTACTTCTACTTATGTCAGTTTTAGCAATTTTAGTATTTACAGGTGTTGTGGATACTTGCCATATAAACAATATGGATCTCTTTTCAAAATTTGGCTCAGTGGCACACTTACCTCAAAAGAGTACAAGTCCTATCCTGTCCTGAAAATGCTTGAAAAAGCAAGGACAGGACACTAAGCTGGGTTTTTATGGTAGTTAGAGTGAAGTTTCAGTGAGGCTTCCCCATGAGGTAGGGTCTTACATGCTGTGACCCCATAGTGCCCCCTTAGGGAGTCTGCTTTCCCCTTAATTTGCCCCAATGTGAGGTAGAAGAGGAAGAAAGATTGAGGCTTAGAACATGTCAGTAATCAAACACCAAAAAGTATAATCCCTAATTAGGTTGTTTATGAGGGTTTCTAATAGCTTAATACTCATAGTAATTACACTTTCTTAGAATGTTATTCTGCCTTTAGTAAAATTTACAAAAAGACTAGCTTTACAAGACCAAAAAAGTAGTCAGACTTATCTACCATGTTTTCATATCATTGTTTATAATATTCTTTTATAGTCCCTTAAAAATTTTTTGCAAGGTCAGAAATGTTTTACATGTTCACGCTTGATTTTAAGGGATTCTTTCTCTTCTCTCTCCCCCTCCTTCTGCTGCTGCTGCTCCTCTTTCTCCCCTTCCTCCTCTTCTTCCTCTTCCTCTTCCTCTCTCTCTCTCTCTCTCTCTCTCTCTCTCTCTCTCTCTCTCTCTCTCTCTCTCTCTCTCTCTCTCTCTCTCTCTCTCTCTCTCTCTCTCTCTCTCTCTCTCTCTCTCTCTCTCTCTCTCTCTCTCTCTCTCTCTCTCTCTCTCTCTCTCTCTCTCTCTCTCTCTCTCTCTCTCTCTCTCTCTCTCTCTCTCTCTCTTGCAAATACACCATGTTCCTAGTTTTTTTCAGCTCTTTAGAAATGGTTTATCAGCTGGGTGCATACACAGTGACATGAGCTTATATCCCAGTTTTGAGGGAGACTAAGGCAGGAGAATATCTTGAATTCAGAAATTCCAGGTCAGCCTGGGTGTCAACCTCTACCTCTAAATAAATGAGTAAATACATGAATGCTGCTTTTGACTCTTGAACATTTTTGCCTGATGGATTTAAAGCCTTTGTCTTGCAAATGCTGGCAAGAATGTGAGGAAAGAGGACCCATATATACTGCTAGTGGAAACTTAATCCGGTGCAGGCACTATGGAAATCAAATTGAGGTTCTGCAAAGACCTAAAAATAGAACTATACCGTTCCTGGGTATGTGTCCAAAGTCATCTAAGAGGCATACCACAGAGCTCCTTGCAATATCCATGTTTACTACTGCACTACTCACAATAGGCAAGACCTGGACCCAGTCTAGATGCCCACCAACAGATGAATGAGTAAAGAAAACGCTTTATACATACACAATGGAGTTTTATTCAGCCATAAAGAAGAAAGAAATTATAGCATTTACAGGATAATGAATGAAATTGGAGATTATTATGTTAAGTGAAAAAATTCAGACTGAGAAAGACACATATCATATGTAGAATATAAATTTAAATATAAAAATAGAAGAAGGATTATGAGGAAGAAGGAAGGGCATTAAAGAAAGAGTAATGGAAGGAGAAATTCAAAATACAGCTGGTTTTTTCTCATGTGGAATCTAAATTTAATCACACACATACACACACACACATACACACACACACACACGCCAAAAAGTGGAAAGAGCGCTATCAAAGAAAGGAACAACAAGAGGGAAGAGGAGGGGTGGGAAATGACAGAAGAAGTCAAAACATAAGCAAATAACAATGATGCACTGGATGACATAATAAAAGCCATTACTTTGCATAGCTAAATTAAGTAGTGATTACGTTTAAACTAAAATATGTTATTTGCCTTGTAAGTCCAATTTCTATTGTTCTTTGGAGACAGTTTTCTTTTTGCCTTTGGTGTATAGATATATGTCATGTATTTTTGTTGCTGAAAACTGGGCATTTTAAGTAAAATTATGTAGCAACTCTTAAAATAAGTCTCACTCAGGTTTTATTGTTGCTGTTGGTTGTTACTTTCTCTTTATTTGGTGACTTTCTGATATAATTCTACAAAATGTGTGCTTTTGTTTGGTGTAGTCACTAAAATCTCTGCTTGGTTGGTGTAGTGACCAGCAGTGATTTTCTTGAACACTTGGAGCCAATGTCTATCAGCTTTGCTGAAAGGTTCTATGTGAATGCTGGGGCCCACGTCTAATACTTACTCAGATATTAACAACTTTCTTAGCTTCCTACTCATACAGAGACTCAAAGTCATCCTGAACTGAAAGATTAAGATGGTTTGCTAGTATTTACTGAGCACAAGAATAGTCCTGGGCATGAGCAGATCCCTGTGCATGCATTTAGTTGTCTAGATTCCTGATAGCATATTGGAGTGTTCAAAGCCCCTCTGGGAATCTCAACTAGACTTTACCCATTACACGCCCCTATTTAGCCTAGAGATTACCCCCATCTCTTATCCACTGCCTGAGGCACACATGAATATGATAATTGCATCTAATTCTAGAAGATTTTCTATATCGAGAAACTTCTAGTTTGAATAAAATTATCCTTGCACTTGGGGCCTCTAGGGCCTGTCCAACAGATCGAATAATGAAAATTCCTGGCAACACAACTTTTTGACATTTCTTTGACAATTTCATACATGGATATTCTGAGCCTTTCCTCTCATTACTCTTCCTTGTACCCTATCTCTTCTGTCGAAACCCTTCTTCTTCCCAGCATCTTCCTCCTACTTTGATGGCTTTTTTTAAAACTGAGTTGAATTATAGTTGCATGCATGAGCACAAATCGTGGTTTATTTGCTAGAATATGAGCAGCTAATCAGTGGCTACACCACTGAAGAAAGCGACTACCCCTCCCTCAGTATCCATTAACTGCTCATAGTGCCTTATGAGGTGTGGGGCTCATGAGCCCTTCCCCTCATGCATAATGAAATGGCCATGTGTTCAGTCTTGTGCAGGTCTTGTTCAGGTAACCACAGGTGCAGTGAGTTCACAAGTGCAGTGGCTTTGTCATGTCTGGAAGGCCCCTCCACAGCATTCCTGTCCAAATTCTAACCTCATCTTACCCAAGACCCAGCACACATACCCCTCTGGTGACTGCAAGATTTCAGGTCTTCTCTATATTTTCAAGGTTTTGGTTGTTAAGTCTACTGCAGAGCTGGAGAGGGGAGATAAGAACAAGGCAAGTGACAATATCAAAGTGCCCATTGTTCTTACAGATATTCTTTTTTCTTGAGTAAAGTCTCTCACATCGCTTTTCTTCTTGACTTAATTTCCCAAGCTCACAAAGGAAGTTAAACCTATTTTTGCTTGACTCTCGTTAATTTTACATAGAGGAGAATGTTTGGAGGTCTTTATCTGATGCCTTGCTCCCTTACACTGTGTTGTGTTTTTGTGGGGGAGCAGATTGTTTTGTACCTGGGAGGCCCTGGTGTCAAGTTCCACCCACCCCTTTCAAGCTTATTCAGGTGTGACCTTCTGAGTGTGGCTTTCCTGAGACCACTGCCTCTTTGATAACACTTCTAAGAACTTTTCCCTTCCAAGTCCTTATAAAAGGGGAGGAGTGGCAAATGGACTTTGGCTCAATGCTTCTGAATTTGGACTCCACCAGGTGTGGTGGTGCATGCCTTTAATCCCAGCACTCCAGAGGCAAAGGCAAGTGAATGTCTGTGTGTTCAGGGCCAACCTGGTCCACATAAGGAGTTCCAGAACAGCCAGTACAACATAGTGAGACCCTGTCTCCAAAAAAATCTCCTGAACTGGGGCTCCTATTGATGCTAATTGCTACCTCAGAATGGCCTTAATAATTACATGTCAATAATCAATACTTGGATCTGTTTTTAGAGTTATGTTTTCTGTTGTTAAAAAAAATTACTTTTACTGAACAAATCTTACAATTTTGCATAGTACTTAAGGGCCCAAGTGCTACGATAAGACCATCTAAATTCAGTGCTTCCCAGTAGTGATAGGAAAGCACCATCGTCATCGAGCTATTGTGAAAACTGTGGAGGAAGTCAAATTACAGTTAGCACAGTGTGTGACATTCACACTTTGCACACACAGTCTCTAGATTTTTGTTACTGTTGTCAGCTTACCAATATCATATAATATTCTATGTTCAAGTGGGATGAAATCTTAGAATGGCTAAACTCCAAAGAAATAATTCATTTTACTTTTTATTCCTGTGAGATGATATCTAGTATAGTGTAAGAAAGAAAGAATTTATCATCTCAAAGGTAGCTCAAGGTAGTACTGAATCACTCTCATCATTATGAAGTTCTTCCTTCTATTAAACCTAAGTCTTTGTCCTTATGTTCCTCGGTGACCCTCTGAAATAAAGCTATCATCATATCTGGGTGTCAGCCTTTCTGTTCTCTGAAGGCCCCCGTTATAACCCTCTCCAGCTCTCCTTTCTAGCTCTGCACTGGAGAGAATGCTAGTGCTTTGAATGGCAGACCAGCTTTGCTTGCTTTTTAACTGCATGGGCCTGAAGAGTCCCTACTGAAATCAAAGGGGACCTTAAAGACCTGGGTATAATGAATTAATTCCCCTTAAGCACAAAAGAGATCTTAGTGTATTGTTTCTACCTCCCTTCCTGGGACAAGTCAATCTCTGCTCCCACCCCCTGACCCCACAATGGGACCACCACCAGCTAAAACTCAAACACACTCACACAAAAGAAGTTTAATTTATTGATTGATTTTTGGCAAAGGTTATATAGAATGTTATTAGAATGAAAATAAAATTCTAGTTACAGATTCATAAAACTTTAAGCCAGATTAGCTTTTATGAGACTATTAAATCCCCTCTCACCTCATACATAGCAAGGTAGTTCAATCATAGTCTATATAATCCTTTGTTGTTTTTAAATGATTAGAACAGACATAATACATAACGTAGATATTAAATATCTTGAGGGATGACAAATCAATAGAACTTTCACTCTTAAGCATTGACTTCATTGTTCTGTCTATTTGCATTCTAAGTTTCCTCTTTAAAGGACTCCATTTGTGAAGTAACCATCATCATCAGCTGTTTGCTTGTATACATACATACATCATAAGTCTCTCAAAATAACATTTAAAGTCTTTCTTAATATTGCTTCAGAAATGTTAACCGTTCAGTTTCCATGTTGAACATTCAATTTTAAAAATGGAAGCTCAGCCTTGATTCTGTAACATATTTTCACGTGTGACCAGAGTGCTTCCCCTGACCTGACAAAAGTCTCTCACAACATACAATGAACCAGCTTCTTCATTGCCCAACTCAGGGGAAGTCATATAAAGTAGAAAAAGAAAGCATGCTTGAGATCACAGTGACCAAAGGATTTGAATTAATAATTACATTAAATAACCATAACTTTTTGCTTATTCACATTCCACACAGTGGAAATTATCCTTTCCTCCAGATTTTTCACTTACAACTCTTAACTTTAAAGAAAGACTGTTAAAAAAAAAAAAGCGCAGACTTACAAGATGTGTGTTTGGTTTTCTCTTTTAATGCCAGGCACAAAGTGAACATCATAAAGTTCCTATTTGGTGTTTGGCATTATTTTAATAGGTAAGATCAAGAACATAGCTCTCTTGCCATAAAACAATTCTCCTATAATATTCAAGAACATATAGATCATTATATCACTGGTGATTCCAATAAAATAAGTAACAGGGCATCTCAATAAATGTTGGAGGACACACCGAACTCACACTACTCTTATTGTAAGCACAGTAAGGAAGACAGGCACTTCCCTCTCTGGCTAGTGCTGTACTTTTATGGTATTTATGTTGCTGATTATTCTAGTGAAGTTAATTTTGAGGAAATTCTCTTTACTTAAGCCAAATCCAATTTACAGGAAAGGCTGTGGTACACACTCTTACAAGACAATGGTGGCTGCCAATCTAACTCATCACTTTTTAACAAAATTGCATGTTTGTGGCAGAATTAAAACAAGAGAAATTCAGTGTTTGTTAGTTCTGAATGTCGTTTCCCTCTCTGGTGTGGTTTTACATTTTCAGCTTCTTTCTCTTTCATTTTTCTCTCTTCCCTGCCATCAAAATCATGCTTTTGCATTTGTGTGCTTAATCAAATCCATCCTGTGATTTACTGTTGGTGGATGCAGAAGACACAGAGATTCAGGGAAAGGGTGTACAGTATATACAAAATGCACAGGCTATGTGTTTGTACAAATCCATCTAGTATACTTAGTGTAGAACCATTAGTAGCAACTTTCAAAATTAGACCCAATATTTGGGGTGGCTTAGATAAGTTTTGTCTTATATCATGGTTCCTATTTAGATGTTACATGAGAAAGTGCTAGACCAAACTGAAAACAGCTTCTATAATTGCAATGGTTCTTTGACTGCAGGAGCCTGGATGAGCAGCAAATGTGTGCCTTCCAAATGACACATGACTTGGCTAGTGAGGCGGAGAGGAAAAGGGAAATAAAAGATTATTTGTTGCATTTACAGATGAACCTCAGTTGGTTAGCCAGCTCTGCCCTTACAGAAATGCTAACTGGGCATCTGGGAGCCCAAGTTGATTCAGAGGATGACACCTATAGTAGGCACAGAGTGGTTTCAATGTCACAAGCATCCACTAGGAGTAGATGGGTGGCCTTTTAACACACCCCAGTTCTCTGCTTCACTATTGGGACTTCTCAACAAACCCTTGGAACTAATGAAGAGCAGTCACACTCTTTACTGTGCCTCAGATACTACATTAGCCAGACACAATCCTCTTGACTTTCTTGCTCTCTCTGACCCTCGGATTCTCTCCTAACAATAGCTAAAACAAAAAAGGCCCCCAAAGAGCCATCTAGCTAAAAGGGAGCAGGTAAACTCTCTGATCTTAGACTATTCTTTATTGGCAGGGACACTGAGCAGAGGCAGAATTTTTATAAAAATGTCATGCATCTCAGAATCATTATTTAGAAATATTCACACTGGAAAGAGCATCAATAATCCATAAAAACTAAGTCACCAGGACCTCTGCTTGTGAAGTTCTTGTTTTTTTCCTATCCCAGTGTAAAGGTTCTCAGTTACATCAGTTGTCCTCCTGAGGCAAAGTAAAGCAGGAGGAGATGTTTGGGGTTACCTGACTTGGTTTAGAAAATAGGAGTGGTCAATATGTCTTAATTTGGGGTTACAGTTAGTCTCAGAAGCTCACAGAGGCAGGCCAAGTTAATGATTTTGGTAATTTAGTCCTCCTCTGTTCATCTAGATTCTTTTAAATAACAGGAAAAACCTTTCACTGTGTTTTGGAGACCTTTCAAGGTCTAGACGTCTTCCTACTGGATATCGCCGGCCCAGACTAGTCCTCACCCTGAACACTGTCAGTGCCCTGTCCCGCTAGTCCTTGAGCAACCAGCCTCCACAGGTTGCACGTTCTTCGCAAGATGGAAAACATTTACACCCATAGTCAAGGGATTTAGGGACATGGGATGAAACTGAAATGTCAGTGAGGGCCAAGAAAGAAATGGATTGTGGAAAAAAATGGGCAAGCACGGGTTAACGGTTCCAAGTCTAAGACAGCACTAAAACAGGCCTCTGACTCGCAGAGCTGCCTCTTCCATTTGTATCATTCTGAAGCCAAGCCCTGGTGCTCAGAAGGGTGCAGGAAGACCAGGCAAAGCCGCAGTCCTGCCCATGTGGGTGTTTGAGTCCATTGGTGTGGGCATTTCCGACAAGCCCCATCCCAAGCAGAGAATAACAGGAAGTGCCTTCTATCAGAGCCTGTTTCCTCCGGTGTTTGAAAACACCCACAGGCACCCTTGCACGCTCGTGCACTCACTATGCATAAGCAGGCTCCGGCCAGGAGGCAGCTGCTGGTTCTTCTGGCCCGTAGGTTTAAGCCGAGTAAGAATCAGGTTGTTTAGATGTGGCTGTGGGTATCGCTAGGACAGGCTGGGTGTGCCCCCCTCTGGCTTAATCCAAATCGATGGATATGCAACGACACTGCTTTACGCGTGTGACCCTCTTCTTCTTGGTGGGTGGCTGTAGTTCGGGACAGTTGAGCGTGACCATCATGGTGGTGAACTTCTTAGGCTTGCAGAAAGAGCAGGACTGGAAGGAGCCTTCCTCCTTCCGGATGTGCCTGGGGATGTAGAAGGAGTTACACTGGCCGTAGCAAAAGCGGTTGATGATGGTGCGGCTGTTGCAACCCTCCTCGTGGATGGTCTGCTTCAGGGGCTGCGTTTTGCACCAGTCTCTCTTCAGGTACTTGCGCTCGGTCACGTGCAGGGCCTCTTGGCTGGACTCCAGCACCTCCTCCCCTGGCATGGCGGTGCCCCGCCCCTGGCCCCTCCCCCGGTTCCTGGAGCCGGGCTGCGGAGACTGAGTCTGCTCCGAGTCATTGTGCTGAGCCTTGTCTGGAGGCGGGATGGCCCCTTGGGATCCTTTCTTTTTCCCTTCAGCTGCCGGCAGCAGGGTCCCCAAGAGGAGAAGCAAAGCTCCCACAGTGTAGGCAGTGCGGCTCATTCTAAACAGGGGACGCAGAGAAGGGAGAGACACGAACAATGGAAAAGTTAATTAACAAAAATAATTGAACCTAACATCCCATTATGGCACTTACCACACTCTTCAGTTTCACTGACTTCTCGCTGTATCTCTAGGAGTTAGATACTATTATTCCCACTACTCTCTCAGCCATCAAGCTGTGAGTAACTCGACATGGGTCACACAGCGAATCAGCCAAGCTTTAAACTCAGCCAGGACTAGTCTCTTCAATGCACCGACTCCCACAAGAATTGCTTACTGGCTTCTGACACAATTGCATGTGACTTTGTATTATGCTTACTTAACTGTGTTTATTCTTGAACTTGACAGTATGAGACTTTTAACTGTTGAACCGACATTTGAAAGAGAGACCTTTGATGGAGGAAAAGTCTTTTAAGAGCACAAGCATTGAATGGGAAGCCAAGAGGACAGAGATGCCTTATGTCATTCTTAATGCTCTGATAGATACTTTTCTACTTAAACGCTTTTTTGATTTATATATTTTTATTTTGGGTGCATGAATTTTTGCCTGCAAGTAAGTGCATCACATATGTGTGATGCCCACAGAAGCCAGAAGAGGGCACTACTGGATCCCCTAGAACTGAAGTTACAGAGGGTTGTTAGCCACCATGTGGGTGCTGGGAACAGACTCTGGGTCCTCTGCAAGAGCAGCTAGTGCTCTTAACTGCTGAGCCATCTCTCCAGCCCCAGTTTTCTACTTTTTAAAGATCTCTCTCTCTCTCTCTCTCTCTCTCTCTCTCTCTCTCTCCCATGGAGGGCAGAAGAGAGCATTGGCTCCCCTGTAGCTTACAGGAAGTTGTGAGCCACGGATGTGTGTGCTGCTGACAGAACTGACATCTTCTAGAAGAACAGCAAGTGGTCTTAACTGTCCATTCATCTCTCTAGCCCTTACTTTCTACTTTTTAAGTGAAATATATTACTTACCTATGTGGCTATATGTATGCATAGAATTTTTTATCTTATTAGCTAGCCAGGCAGGCCTTATTTAATTTTTAAGTTAGTGTACAAGATAATGAGTTTCATTATGAATTTTCATGCTTACCTGTCACTGTACCTTGCTTGTATTTGCCTCCCCACTGCTTTCCCCATCCTTCCTCCCCACAAAAAGTCCTGCTTTCATGTCATGTGTGTGTGTGTGTGTGTGTGTGTGTGTGTGTGTGTGTGCATGTATATTTAAGTCTAAAGTAGGGGAAACATTTTTAAGGTAGAGAAATGGGCACAATAGAATAAGTATGTGCAAATATTTACATTAATACATGTCAAAGGCATGTTGAACAAATTAATAATATAATTATTGCAAGCAAGTCTAGACTTAGATATGGGTCACATTGGGCAAGGGTATAAAACAATGTCATAAATCATCAGTAAAGCAAAGCTTGAAGAAAACATTCCAGAGAAACTCAAGTGGCGAGACAGGGAAATGAATGAAGTGAACACAGCAAGCGAGAGAAAAGAGTTCTTCTAGAGGCCGGTTGACTAGGGAAGACTGGGCAGACAGTAGGCAAGGAAAAAGAAGCAGCAGACTTTCAGGATTCTACTGGCCTTGGCCTGTCTCCTTGGCCTGACCAGTGGGCACAGTCATCCGGGTACTGTTAAAGCCTAGATTCTCATTCAGTCAAATGTCACAGATCCTGTAACATTTGTGGGCATGTGGTATACCAGGAGTTACTAAAGTGTAGGAAGATGCTCTTCTCAGTGAGTACCATTTAATATTCACAGACTCTCCTGGGCATACAGTACCCTAACTTGAGTCTGAGGCTTCCTTTACCCAATCCTTATGCTTATCTGGACCCGAGAACACAGCTATGACATACCTATCTTTTTGGCCTTCTGAATACCAGTATTGCATATGATAACCACTAAATGAAAATTAATGTGACCTTCTTTAATATAACGTTAGTCCCCCAAAATCCACTAAATGAAAATTAATGTGACCTTATTTAGTATAACATTAGTCCCCCCAAATCCAGTCAAGTTGGTAGTATTACATAGCACAATTATCTTTCAAAGACAAAAGCAGCAGTATAAGATGCATCTTCTCTAAAGGACAGCCTCTAGCAAGTAAAGACCATTCAACCCTAAGGCTAATGTCAAACCAAGATAACTGAATATTACATTAAAATATCCTTAAATGTCACCATTTTTCCAACAATAACCTAATATTTTGGAGCAAGTTCAAATTTGGAGCTGATAACGTGACATTTAACTCCTGTTCTGAATGTAGGCTCTCTGGCTTTTGTCAGTTTGTGTTACAACATCCCTGTCAGAGCCTTGTTGACCACTTATGAAGCTGGGCGTGGTGGTGCACGCCTTTAATCTCAGCACTCGGGAGGCAGAGGCAGGTGGATCTCTATGAGTTCAAGGCCAGCCTGGTCTACATAGTGAGTTCCAGGACAGCTGGGGCTACAGGGAGACCCTGTCTCAAAAAGACCAAAAAAAAATCACTTATGAAAATAGTTCAGTTATTACACAGTACTGATTTTTCTCCAGAGATCAGGATAACTTGAGCCATGACCTTTCTATCTCCCAGGCAAATACAATGTGAATTTGAAAGTTTTTCACAAGTTTCTTGCTGTTCTTAATTCAGGGCCAGCATCTAAAATAAAAGGCCAAATCTAAACTAAAAAGCATTCGTTGTGCATTTCAAAGGAAGAGTATACAGATGGGCCTAGATCAATTCTGACCATCTTCTTCGACACATATTAAAAACTCCAGGCCAAGAACTTCAGTATCCACATCTCAGAGGCCAACCTGAGGTGACTGTGGATATATGTTGACTGGATATGACAGTTCACATCATAAGGCCATACAGTTCTACAAACATCCATCCAAAAAACATAATTTTATTTTTTTCAGACCAACTCAGGGCATTTTATAAATTGAAATTTTCTTTCCTGCCATCTTTACATCTGTTATTGAGTTGATATCTACTCTAAGAGATAAAGATTTCTCATCCGACTCTCAGTGCCTAGCACAGAAGAGGTGCTCATGAGTATTTGTTAAATGAATGATTTTTATACCACCAAGATTTGTCACAGTTTCTGTTCTTTGCATTGTACCTTCATCACCAATGTTGAGGCGTGGAAGAATTGAGCGCAGCCCTTTGGTCTGACCCTCAGCAGAGCAGCCCTCTTCTAGCCCAAGAGCTTCCTAATGCTTGGCCTCCTTCTTCTAAGAAAATTCCAACTATTCCCAACTCATTACTGCATCCCATTCAGGATGTTATGGATTTTATTTTAACCTAGTTATGAAGAAATAAATTTAAAATTAGTTGACTATGGTTTGAAGTTTAATTTGGACAAGCTTCCTATTCCTGTAAAAGTGTTGTGGACCCCGTGAGTCAAAGGGGATACCATTTTTCTTTAAAGAATAGTCAATTAGTTTCAAACTATGGTTTATTGGTATAGAAAGTGAATGGTTTTTAATTTTTAAAAATTCTTGTTCTTTAAAAATCTATAAGATTTATGGTGAGGCCTTCCAGTTCTTAAATGTTTTCACAAAAAATCAAAACCCACTTCGAGCAGGAACCACAGCAATGTTCTCGCTCCTTCGAATGCCCAGGGTGCTTCTGGATGTTTCCTCTGAGCAGCAGGGAGGGGAGAAGAAGGAGAAGCAGTGCTGGAGCCAGGCCCTGCCAGCCCTGCTCATTCACCCCAGTGCTCCCCACCTCCAAATTGGTCTTGATGACCCAGTCAAGGAAATAGGGATTTTTATTCTTGAAATCATAACTGTAGTTCTATCAAATGATTTGTATTTTATAAATATCACTAATATGCAGGAGATCAAGAAGATGTGACTTCCTTAAAGACAATGCTTTTCTATATCAGCACCTAGCAGGATGCTGTACAACCAGCCCTGTCAGTCCAAATGCTGATCCAGATTTAGGTTCCTATGACTTACCACCCTTATCCAGTGGTTAACGTCATGGCAGTCTCCATTTATAAAATGGCCTGTTCACATTATTACATTCAGCTGTGTCCCATGAATCCAGGGTACATCATGACACCTGACAAGCATCTCCGTTAGTTCTCCTTTGAGGATAGTATTCTTTATTTCAAGCCCAGCCTTAACATCCTCTTAACGCAATTCTGTTCCAAGTAATGAGGTCATATTTCATGGAGAGCTTTCTCTACAATTCTTTACCAGCAAGCTTCATTTCAGTCTTGGTTCTTCTTTCTTTAGCCATTGCCCTACTCCAGTTCGTTTGTCTCAGAGAACAAACCCTCAAAAAGTTCCTTTCTGCCTCCTGCTTTCCTTCCTTCCAGTTCCCCTTGGTGATCAAGAATAAATGTCTAAAAGATGTGGACCCTGGGTACATTGACCACACTCCAGGGAATGGTTCACAGCCAAGAGTATTTGAGGAACACAACTTGGACTTGATGGGCTTTAAAAAAGAGAGAAGGTAAGGATGTGGGATGGATCTGAGAGGAAATGGGGGAGGGAGGCTGACTATGATCAAATACACTATATGACATTTTCAAAGAATCAATACAAATATTATTTTAAAAAAGAATAAACACCCACAAGCAAGATAAGCCATATTAACAACCTCCACCCTGGGAATTTATTGCAATTTTCACAAGAGCACTAAGAACAGTTTTTGGATTCTGGAAATTCATAAATACAAATGGTATGTATGACCTGTTTGCAATGATCTTGACATATTTGGGGAGTCCAAGGCCAGCTCCTTTCAATACTTTCATGTTAGCCAAGCATCCTTCTTGTGCAGTAAATTGCATGAAGTTTTGAGGAAGATTTTCCATGAAATACAAATGTCTGCATCTGAACTTCTGGTCAACTGTTCCTGCTGAACTAACTGTTAGGAAGGCATACAATAGGAATAACATCATGAAACATAATGGAAGTGACTTCAAAGATATCTAGACAGGTCAGATTTTTAAATAATCCATTTCTTTTTCTATGAGTCTCCTTGAGAAGAGTAAAGCTTATTTTTAATTAGACCCTTAAATTTTAAAATTAGAATCAGATTTTAGGGAGTAAGTATAGAATTTCTTAATAAGAATAAAGTTTGATTTTTCTTTTCAGACAAGTTTCACCAAGTACATGAGACAATTACTGATTAGCACACATCACAAATTGTATTCCCTACAAGTTTCAAATTTCTTAACTATAACTTGTCCAATTAGGCTAAGTCAGGCTGGAAAACAACACTGCACAGAGCAGGGGGGAAACAACCTGGTGGTTAAATATCTTAGTAGATCTTTGTTCCTTGGAAAAAAGTAATTTTTAGTGAAGTTAAAGATTTTATGTAATTCTTGAGGTCAACAGGAAATAAATTAAAAAGTACAATACTAAACACTCACTAAGCAGCACTATTGACAGCCAAGTGATATGTTGCATTTTGTAGAGAAAGATATAAAAGTGAGATACCCCCTCTGCTACATCCTTGCACTATGGAAGGTTACTCCCAACAGGACCACTAGTAATAACAGTTGCTTCTTATTTTTGAGACCTTACTATGTCAGGCATTATACTAAATACTGTCCAAATTTTGTCATTTGTCTCTCACAATAAAAGACGAATTCGATAATAATATATTTTGTTACTAAGCAGTGATCCATTCAAAGCTTATAAAGTAGACAGCAATGATTTGAGCCCAGTTCTATCTAACAGCCAAATATGTCCTAATGACATTTAGCACAGTACTTAACAAGGAACACATTCATTTGCCTTTCAATGCAGTAATTTTTGAAGAATATTGTAAATCTAATAATTATCTATTATGGATCTTCATGCTTGCATGTAAAGGAGAAGACTTCTCTTGTCACAGGAATTCCTGTTGTACTTTGCATTTCTAAGAACATATGTTAAAACTAAAGAAAATTCTTTGCAGATGTAAGCCATGCCTGGTAGCACTTGCCTGGTCAGTGCCTTCCAGTTAAATATGCAGTTACCTCTCCTAACTGGCTCCTTCTTCTTCCCTTTACATAAAAGGCTTGGGGTTTCCTGTATGTCCTTTGCTTTCCATTCTGGAACATAGTCTACAGCTTTGCTATCAACAAACATTTCTTGGAGAGAAGTCAAAGGCATGAAATTTCTTTATACTTTATCACTCTTAATACTGGACCATTAAGACTGAGCTCACCAAGAGCTTCAGTTTAGAAGGACAGGAGGTGCTCATTGAAAAACATGGGGACTTAATATATTCCTATTCTTCACTCTGTAATGACTCACATGAAAACTACATTAGCCAACCTGGATTTCCTACAGATCGTGGGTTACCAAAACATTTCACTCAAAGTGAACTTTAAAGAAAAAAAAACTGTGAAATTACAAAGTTTACAAAAGACTCTAATTCCTACAATGACCTAGGGGTTAAACACACACACACACACACACACACACACACACACACACACACACACACACACAGAGAGAGAGAGAGAGAGAGAGAGAGAGAGAGAGAGAGAGAACCAGTACAGTTCTAAAGAATCTTTAAATAATTAGTAAATTCTAACAAGTCCAGCCATGCAATTTATCCAATGACAGTATTCCAAAGAACTCATATTTGTAGATTTGTAGACTAGGTTAGGAGTGATAGTGAAGGACAATCTTGTTTTCTTAAGGTCTTTCTTTCTTTCTTTGGAAAGTCTATACCCCCAAGTCCCCTGTGCCCCCTGCCTCTTCCCAAAAAGAAAAAAAGGGGAGGAGGGCAGCCCCTAGGGGTGAAAGAAGACTCCTCACCCTGGGATAGGGTTATCTTAACCTCTTCTACGTTATTTATTTAACTTGTAAGCACAGCCAGAAGGAAACCACTACTCTGGGGTCCCTGGGACAGCTTAAAACCCTAGTGACCCATTGAACACAATAGATTTGTTTTAATCAGTTCGTATCCTGGCACCATCTCAGGGGAACATAAACAGACGCGCGCACCGCTCGGATTTGCTCTTTCCACCGGGAGATCCAATTACCTACTGATGGTCGCCTCTCTGCCCTCCGAACAGTTAGGAGATTTTTAACCCCTCACTTCGAGGCTATATTTCTGCATCAAAGAGTTGGATTTGGAGTCGGCTGAGGAGGGGAAGGCTACTGCCGAGCCAGACCCGCGAGCATCCTCAGTGCGCGGGAAGGTGTACATAGCCTAGTCCATTCACCTAGCATCCTCCCCCAGCCTCCCCGGTAGAGTGTCGCCAGAGCCCGGCACAGGAAAACTCCAAGCTGGAGCGCTCCAGAGAGGGACGAGTCAAGCGAGAGCTGTAACGAGTCTGTTTTTACCAAATTGGAATTTTGCAAATAACTATAACCAGGGAGGTGACAGACCCCCATTCATCCCACCCCCTCTCCTTCCTCCAAGAGCTATAGAGAGGTCATTGGAAGAGCCCGGCAGCTGATGAGCAGTAGAGACTGCGCCCGCATTCGAGCGAGGGACCAGCCTGCTGCAGCCACTCGCACGTCTCGGGTCTCTAACGAGGTGCAGCGAGGCGAGACTGGTGCCTCTAGGGTACAGATTACTGGGCACCCGCGGAAGCGGGAACCAGCCGGTGGTAGCTGCCGGGCGCCTGCACGTCTGCAGTTCAGCGGATGAGCGCATGGAACCCAGAGAGGCTCGGCATAGAAAGCAGCGCGCTGACCAGAGCGCAACTACCACAGGAGTGTGTGTCATCTGCCCTGTGAACACTGTGCTCCGGACCGCAACGCACTCTAGCTTCGGGGTACTGGCCCTCGAATTTCCGTGGTGGTTGAACCCAGTGGATCCTCTCTTGTAAGCTCACTCTTGCCCATCTCCGTCGCATCTGCCTGACCCGCGAATACACACACCACAGATTCTCCGCCTGCATCAGTATCATTCAACCCACTGGGACGAGAGCTCCTAGACGCCCCAGTCCCAGTCCGACTCCTAGCCCGCTTGACTCTACCGTTGCAGTTTGCCTCGCGGTTTGCTCCTGCTAACTGTCCCGGGGTTCCTGGGCCCCGACCTGGACAACTCTGCGCTCTGGCCGGGCGGGTTAACCGAGCAGATGCTGCAACTCCAAGCACCAGGAGCGTGTTTGCAGGGCTCGAGGAAGAGGAAAAGGGATGCCAGCTCTTGACAGTCTCTGGTCCTACATTTCCCTGTAGCCCCAGCGCAGAGAGCTCACTGCATCTAGCACCTCTGCAGGAAGGACCAGGCTACGGTTCTTCCGGGTGCACCTCGGGGAACCTCAGGACCTGGGCGCACCGAGAGCTGAAACGAGAGTCAGAACTGAACAGGACTTGGGGTGGGCACTTGGGGATCGTTTGCCAGCTCGAGTACCAACACACACACACACACACACACACACACACACACACACACACACACACACACACTACCAGGGCCACTGCGCTCACCTGTCAGTGGGGTGGGTCTTCCGGTGCTGCGCTGCCGAAGCGTGGCGCTGCGAGCAACCGCGGCCCGAGCCGCTGGATCAGCCGGACCGAGACGCTGCCACTGCTCACTGGGTCGCCAGGTCCGCGAAGGGCGCACCGAGTGTCAGGCATCTCCGGGTCTTCGGTTTAAATGCCTCTGGCCAAGCACGGCGCCCCGAGCCCCGCCTCTCCATTGGCCAGGCGCCGCTGCCGCCGCCTCGGGACCCGCTATCCGCCCCCTTTCCCGGTACTGCCCCCGCCCCCTGCACCCCTCCTGCCTCCCCGAGGGGTCCCCTCTCCGCCCGCCTCGCCTCTTTGTCTACTCCTCCTCCCGGCCGGGTGGGAGAGGTCACCCCAGGGAACCGCGCCTGGAATGCACAGCAAATCACATTTTCCGCTCCTGTTGGAGAGGGGAGCCCAGAGGAGCTCCCCCTCCCTCGCCTCTCGGCCCCTCATCCCTCCTCAAGTCCCCGGCCCTGGGCTTCTCCTCTAGCCGGCTTCGCCAAGAGTCCAGGCTGCCCTGGACAGGGCAAGAACCCCCAGCGGAAGGCTACAAACAAGGCGGTTCCTCACCCCGGGAAGAGGCACACCGCCGGATGCTATGGTCCAGCGGTGGCGGAGCCTCGGCGGCTCCGCCGGAGGCCCCCGACTTCGAGGGCGCTGACCCCTGCGCCCGCGTCAACCCGGCGGGCTCGCGCGCAGCCAACAGGAGTCTGTCGCCAACATGACACCCTCCTCTCCTCTCTCTCCACGCGTTCCTTCAGCTCTGACGCCGGCTTCGGCTGTGAGTGTATGGCCGGGAGAATAAAACTAAAAGGACCCTCCGTAGTCAACGTTTCCATTTGTAAATGGCCTTAAAAAGAGCAAGAACAATCACTAAGCGATAAGGGTTTTCTGTAGCATATTAAAGGTGAATAAATCGGAGGGGGGGCGGAAGTTAGGCAAGGAAATATCTTCCCAGCAGTTTAATTAAAAAAAAAAAAAACTACTTAAGTTACTTAAGTGAACACCCCAAGGCACATTTTGCAGTCATTACTAAGAACCTGATGGACAGAAAAAAACACAGCAGTGGTATAGTCTCCCATAGATGCATGAACACATTCATTTATTTTCTTAGTTTAAAATTAGTTCTTCAAAGAACCATCAGTTGTATGTGTCAAAGAAATTGCAGTCTGTGCAAAAATCAACCGGTCTGCGACGTCTCATCTGCAGACTTGAGTAGGTTCAGTGAAGACTTTGCAAAAGATTTGTCGAAGGAGCATACTGAAGGTGCCTGTGTTGCCTCACGAACCAGAACAGTGAAACCACCAAAGGATGCTTAAGAAACGATCGTGATTTAAGCACTTGGCTAGGAAAATAAAACCGAACTAGAAACCAGAGCTTGTATTCTTTCTCTTTATCAAAGGGCTGCGGTTGGGGACCAAGAAACATGCTGAACACGTAGTAGATATTGTTAGGAACTTCAACGCGAGTTTTTTAAAAAATAAATGAAGCAAGAAGGAAGTCTGCATTGTGCTAGTCCCTGTGCTAGCTAGGGAATCTTGGTAGACTGTTGTTTGTGTAAATGGCAGTTTCTTTGCACAAATTCAGTAGTGCACCATATGTGTGTATGCATGTGTGTATGTATATATGTATGTATGTATGTGTGTATGATGTATGTATGTATATAATATCATCCCATAGTTTGCAGTTGTCTGCAGACTAGGAACATTCAACAGGCTTCAAGATCTACCCTGGGCAAGTGGACTTTTGGAGAGTTCTGGTCAGATTCACACAAGGTACTTAAGTAATGCAGAGTTCACCTAAGACCATCAAGATGCATTGAGCCAGAGGGGAGAAATATTCCCCCAGAGAAAAAGGAGCTTATTTTAGAAATTCATTAACTTCTCATCTAAAATCATAGATATAATTACATTTTCCCCCAGACTCACACAAACTATTCCAAATAAAAATTCAAAGAGGTGAAATTGACCTCTCAGATTGAAATGATTGTTTTTAGAGGCTTGACACTGGTTTGATTCATGTCCACTGGACAAATGTTGATGCTCACTGTTGCAGTGCCTCAGGAAGCTTCTCAGACCAGATCTCTACCTCCCCTTTGATGTCCCAGTCACTGCATGATTTTTTTCCCCCATTGCCATCTATTATTCCTTATCATCTAAGTATTTTCTAGAATGTTAACTTCATGAGGATAGGGGCTCTTCCTGTTTTGGTTATTTTGATCACATGAAGCACACAAAATATGTATCTAAAAAAACTGGGATCCAATAAATGATTGTGGGGCTGAAAAAGACTGGCATATTTCCACTAAGTAGGGCTATCAGTTGAACCAAGTGTTGAGACTATAACCACAGTGAAAACAATAGCAGAGGCCTGACCTCCACATTTACAGTCTAGGATGTTTGTAAATACTGATACAGATATGCAAGTTTTTTGCTGCATATTTGTGTTTACACAAATCACAACCAGTCATTGCAAACCATTATCCAATATGGATGAAGTTAATAGAGGAAAAATTTCTTAGAACTCTTTAAACCTAATTACATAATTAAAACCTGGTTTTAGTAAGGGAGAAATAAGCAGAATTACTCAATGTCATCAAAGTTAAACTCTTTTTCAAGGAGAAAAGAGAGTTTAGATAGGATCTCAGTATGTATCCAAGGCTGGTCTTGAACTTGCAGCAATTCTCCATCTACCTCCAAGTGCTGGGATTACAGGTGTGAGCCACCATGCCCAGCTCCAGGTTAAACTGTTAAATCTGAGCTGCCTAAATGATAAATTTTACTTAATGAAGCCATTTTCGGACTATTCTGAGGTGTGTGAGAGGAGTCAATCATGATCATCTACTGATTTGTAAATTTTCTTGTTTTATCACTCACTTTTAGAAGCACAGGTATAGAATAGTTTACCTTGAAGATGCTGAGAGGATTGTTCTCCAGGTTTGGTAAAGAACATGAAAGACATTTGTAGGAAAGTTCTGCTTAGGTCTGCAGAAGCAATTTGCTAGCTTCTTCATCTGATTGCAAAGACCGGATGTGCCATCTTGCAGTGGGTTGAAAAGAGTTAAAAAATAAATAAATAAAAGAAGCAAAACCATTTACTCATTTGAATCAACCTGGTATACCACTTCCAAAGGAAAAAAGATGATAGATAATAAACAGTGGTTAAAGAAAAGGTATTTACAATAGTCAGATAACTGTTATATGAACCATATCCAGAATGTATCCTCTTACACATTAATAAGAAAAATCCTACAGATCACTCAAGCAGAAAACATGATGAAGTAACTCTCTCTCTCCCCTTTCTCTCTCACATCTCTCTCCCCTCTCTCACATCTCTCCCTCTATCCTCTCTCTCCTCTCTCTCTCTCTCTCTCTCTCTCTCTCTCTCACACACACACACACACAGAATCACAAAAACCAAACTAAGGATTATTCTTTTAATGAATCAGATCAAATATAGTCAATATCAATGCAAATACTTTAAGTCTATCTTTCTCATATATGAGGCAATAAACATGAAAAGATTCTAAATTAAAATATATTCTTGCTTATCTATCAGAAAGTTTGGCCCATTTAAAAGCCTGACAATAACCAGCATTGAAAAGAGGTTGGAAAAGCAGGAACTAATCACATTGCTAAGGAGAGTAAAAATGGGCAGTATCATTTAAGTGTAATTTGTCAATTTGAAAAATTAAACAGGAACCTAGTTTGTCATCAGCTAACCACTCTACTTCTTAATAAATACCTTAAAAGAATCCAAACTAGGACTCCTAGGACTAGAAACTCGTGTGAACACAGACAATGCACTTAGGTCTGTCATCATCTTGATACCACTCCACAGACATAGGAGACAACAGAATTTTATTCATATGATTAAAAAAAAAAAACACTAAAAGAATTGGGCTGTGCTTTTATGTTTCAAAACAGAGTAAAAATTATGATGCTTAAAACATTCACACGACACAAACAAGTGATGCTATTGTGTGTGTTTCTTTATATGTATATGTATATATTACATTTATCATCATGTGTATGTGTGTGTGCGCGTGTGTGAGTACATGCGTATGCCATAGCAAGAATGTGAAGTTCATAAGACATCTTTCAGGAGTCAACCCTTTCCTTCTACCATATGTGTTCTGAGGATTTAACTTGGGTCATCAGACTTGGCAACGAGTGCCTTTACACACCATCTCACTGGCCCTATTATGTATACTTCATAATGAACATCTAAAACAGTAGTTTAACTTGTTTATGAAAACCTATGTATTCACATAAATGTGTAAACGCTGGGTTAGAATCCAGACCTTTAATGGTGCTCATCAGAATGAAATGAAAGGAGATGGATTACCATGAAATACCAAAGAAATTTTAATTTGATGGACTTTTAAAAGTAGTTTCTTGGAGCTAGGCGTGGTGGTGCATGCCTTTAATCCCAGCACTTGGGAGGCAGAGGCAGGAGGATCTCTTTGAGTTCCAGACCAGCCTGGTTTACCTAGCAAGTTCCAGGCCAACTGGGGCTACAGGGAGACACTGTCTCAAAAAGATTTAAAAAAAAAAAAGTTTCTTGGGGATGAAGAGATGGCTCAGTGGTTAAGAGTACTGCTGCTCTTGCAGAGAACCTGGATTCAGTTCCCAGCACCCACATGGTGGCTAACAGCTGTCCATAACTCTAGTTCCAGGGGATCTGAAGCCTTCTTCTGACTTCTGTGGGCACTTCATAACACAGGTGCACTTACATACATGCAGGCAATACACTCATACACATAAAATAAAATTAATAAAATATTTTTTAAATAATAAGAATTTCTTAATCTTTACAAATCTTGACAAAATATTGATAATGTAGTTTCATGATGATAGTCCATAGTGTTTGTTGAATGATTCTGTTTCCATTTTGTTAATTTAAATGAAAAATGTCTTATGGCATTTTTATATATTTCTTCTTGTGGTATTAAGTGTGGGGGTGGTGTGAATGTGTTAAAATTAGCTTTTCTCCACCACTTCATAGGTATCAAATACTGGGCTTTAGATTCATTCTCTAATTTTATTTTTAATTTTTAGTGTGTATGAGTGTATATCCTGCATGTAAGTACACCCTTGTCGTGCAATGTCCCTCAGACGTCATTGAATTCCCCTAGAACTGGAATTAAGGATGTTAGCCACAATGTAGGTGCTAGGAATCGAACCTGGGTGCTCTGCAGGAGCAGCCAGTGCTCCTAACCACTGAGCCATCTCTCCAGCCCCAGATTCATTATCTAATTTAATTTGGATAACTATCCTATTGAGTTGCTACTTTTATCTTTTTTTTTTTAGAAAATTAGGAAACTGACATCCATAGAGGACATATAACTATATCAAAGGCACAGAACTATATGAGGCAGGGAAAGAATTCACAACTGGCTGTGTTTCCTCAATTTCTATACTGTATACTGCAAACTGTGTTGAATTGAATATATATCACATACTGTTAGAACTTATATTTATTCTTTTTTATTTAAAAGTAGTTTACTAGTGTTGCTTTCTTTAAGAAGTAACATGATTACATTGAAAGACTTCGTATAGGTTGGAGAATGCGGAAAGGGAGTGAATAAGGCAAACTCACGTTATAGAAACAGTGACAAACTTCGCATTGTTGAAGATTTGGAGTACAGTTTTCTCAGTAAATAATATTCAAAAATTATAGTAGACAAATAAAATTTTTTGAATTTATATTCTAAGATATAATTATGTATTTTTTGTTTGAGGGTTGTATTAGTTTAGTTATTACAGTACTTTCTAGAAAGTATTGTGATAAGAACTGGTACTTCAAAAGCATGACTTCATTTGGGCGTGGTGGTGTGCACCTTTAATCCAGCACTTGGAAGGCAGAGGCAGGCAGATCTCTGAGTTCAAGGCCAGCCTGGCCTACAGAGTGAGTTCCAGGCCAGCTGGAGATACAGGGAGACTCTGTCTCAAAAAGAAAAAGAAAAAGAAAAAGAAAAAAAACCCACAAAAAACAAACAATAACATAACTTCTATACAAAAAAAAAAAAAAAGAAAAACACCCCAATGAGTATGATCAAAGCACATCATATTTGTGTATGAAAATGTCACAACAAAGCCAGGCACGGTGGCTCTTCCTGTAACTCTGAGGCAGAAATGCCTTGAGTTTGAGGCTTTCGCTGGCTACGTAGTGAGGTCCTAGGCAAGTCAGGCTATACAGTGTGAGCCTGTCTTAAAAACAAAAGTCATAATGAGGGACTGGAGAGATGATGGTTCAGTGGTAAGAGCACTGGCTGCTCTTGCAGAGAACTTGGGTTTGAATCACAGCACCCACATAGTGGCTGACAACTATTCATAACTCCAGTTCCAGGGGATCCGACTC